TTAATCAATGTATTTAATTTTGGGTTAGGCAGATTTATTTCTTTATTTTAGGAAGTCGTTAGCTGGTAATTAGCCAGTCAATGCACTGTTAGACATGAAAAATACTTAAATGCATAAAATCAGGTGAAAATCTGCATAAAATATCACATACAAATGTATGAAATCTGAATAATAAGCAAGAAATTTCTAAAAAATATAATAAAATATATTTCTTTGTACAGTTTATATAAGGTGCAGATGGCAATAACCCTAAATATGTGACTTCATTTGGTACAGACTCAGAAAAAAAGACAAATTTGTGTTTGTGTTGCCAATCTCAGTTCTGCTTGAGAGTGAAACTGAGTGTAAATGGGCTGCCGACAATCTCTCCTATGCACTTGGACACTACCTTCTCTGCACGTGGCTTTGTACTGAAATGTTTTCTTTTTCTATTGTTATGCTTATTACGCTTATTACTTCTGAGTAGTCGTTTTCCAGAGGGAGACCGGGGTGACCATGGGGGCAGGCTGATGGTGACTGGCCTGCAGGACAAGCAGGTTCGGGAGATGGAAAGTCACACAGATTTTCTTCTGATAGTTTGCTGGCTTTCCTCAGAATTTCTTCTATACTGAATTATCATGATTAGCAACTTCCTATGAAAGAAGCATTCATCAGAATTTCTCTGACGTATTCATGTCTATGAAGAATTTTGTTGCCTGAAGTAACAAATCCTTTGGGCTTTTAACTTCCCCTTTCCTTTCTACAGGAATGAAAATGATGGTCTGTGTCAATTAGAATGTATTCCTGCCTTAATACCACTTAAGGAAAGCATAAGTGCCTGGTTTTACTTGGAAAGTAGTTATGCTAATTATCTTAAATTTGCAAGAATTTGACTCAATAGAAACAACTTGACATTTAGTTTGAAAGGTCTCAATGTTTCTGTACAGTTCAGATAACAACCTTGCTGGTAAGATACTCCTTTTTTTAATTTATTTTTTTTTTATTTACCCCCCGAAATGGCACTACAAATACAAAAAGTTAATTTGCAAATGTTTACCTAAAATAAAATGACTTACATGGTCTATCAGCACAGCTGACACAGATCCTGCACAATCCCAGGCAACAGAGTCTGCCACAGAAGTTGGGCTATTTGCTTTTCTTGAAACCTCCCTGGCTTTACATGCTTTCAAATCTTTTCTAATCCTTGCTGAAGGGCAGAGCTAATTAACCTGAGAACAGTGCTTCTCTACTGCTTTTTACTATAATGACATACCTGCACAACACTGAGCCGTGTCTGCAGATGTATCAAGTTGCTCAGGGAAAAAATATGTTTGCAGTGGCACAAAGCCACCTTTCTGTCCCCTTTCTATGACACACAAAGGATAGCTCTCCTGCTGCAAGGCATCAGAGCCATGCAGTTTGCTGCACTGTGCCTACAACATTTGATTGATGGCAAAGATTATGAATTTATTTACTTCCATGCTTTATATTTACAAAAGCACACTAGTTCTTCAAGACATTCATGGTCCTGTTTCATTGCTCTGCTTTCCCTTAGCAAGCAAAGTGACGCTCGGCATCTCCTCTGTAGTCCAGTTTCCACATTGCTTTGAAGGAAACAACTTTGCGTGAAAACCGCTTTGAAGCAATGCTTCCTCTGAAACTCTACACGTATAATGTGTTGACTGCTGGCTTCACTCTCCTTTTTGTTAATTCCCAGAGTTAGAAACTGATGACTTAATGAAAGTCTTAATCTTGATGAGTTGCAGCATGCTATACTCTTCCTCTTAGCTGTGAATCCAAGATAATCACTGCAATTTGGGTCCACCGAGCAGATCTATCAACTGCACAGGATGACAGATTGCTGCTGGTTTCGCTTTTGGATATTTATTGAAATAGACTGCTAACAGCCATTGTTGTAGGGCCTTTGTTTTGCTTTGTTTTCATGTTATTCCTAAAAAAAGGGATTGTTTTACTCTTCATCTAATGGCAGGGCAGAGCAGGAGCTGGGGATCCTCATGGGGAAGGGGCTTGCTCCAGGACCAAGGCATCCAGGGGCTGTCATGGGCTATGGGGCGGCCCCTGAGGGGCTGCTCAGGGCCAGTGTCATTTTAACCCTCACGTTAGTAAGCCACGACTATGACCATCTGTCTTTCCAGATGCCACTGAGTTCACCTTTTCTGATTCAGATTTTTAATTTAAACCATTTTTGGAGTCATCCTGGGTATGCTAAAACATTCTTATGAATCACTGCTATCCATCTACTTGTACACATACTGTCACTGCACCTGGTTAAACATAACTTGGAGTTGTTGTGTGGCTAGTTACAAATACATGTTTAAGTTTTCTATTAGTATTTTTTGGGGAAACCAAGTGACAAGCTGACTAAAGAGTGAATCATTAAGTGTTAGTGGTGCAGACCTTACTCTGACCCAAAATTGCAGCATTTGAACATATGGTGTAATGACAGTGGATTCCAAACCGCAGTTCTCAGCAGCAGTTTGTAACAGAGTGGCATGACTATCCCTGTCACTGTGAATGCCACTCAGGAGCAAGCAGTTTGCACATCTTTCACCACACATTATTAACTCTATCTACTCTTGGCATCTTTTGTCACTGTTGTTTGTTTGTTTGTTTGTTTTTGTGTTTTGTTTGTTTGGTTTTGCAATTTTTCATCTATTTAGGAAAAAAACAGTTTTCAGAACAATGATAAATAGAACTCTCTCATGTTATGTAGGGTTGCCCTGATTTTACTCCCTACAGAATAAAAGAGCATAACTTCTATCACTGCTGAAACTGATACAGCCACTAAAGCAATGCTGCTTGTTTTTGCTATAATTATTACAAATAAAATATTTTCCTAAAATATATCTGATAATTGAAAGGGCATATTATTGAGATTAATATTAATTAAGAAAATCGTAAATGATCCAACAGCAGGAAAGTGAAACATTTTACAAGACTACAGCAGCAACAGAAATCCTGTTTCAGTAAATATGCCACGTTCCATAGCTAGAAGTTCCCTGGCCAGCAGTCATGTGGCAAATACCATTATGTTGATACTGTCAGGAAACTCCATTTCTCACAGCTCATCTGCGGCACGTTAAAATATGATAGAAACTGTACTTCTGTTATCTAAACCACTGATTGTTTGAATTACACATGAGTAGATCACTGCATGTTCTTTAACCCAAATCAACACAGTCAGCCATTGTAAGAGAAAGGATATAGGGCTCAAAAGGCTTCTAATATCATACAAAATATTTGTCCTCTGCTCCAGTATTCTTATCTTGCTTTTGAAAGGAGAGAACTCCTTTCTGCACCAAATGCTGCTTTCAAGTGCATCACCAGAGTGGCATTGCCTGATGATAACAAGCACTGGTGACAGCGGCTAGGCCTGTATCTAAAGGAGATTTGGCATCCTGTCTTGACCAAAGAGAGATAAAAGGGGATTTTCTAGATACAGTTGTTCAAGAAGAAGGATCTTATAGGAACTCAACAGTACAAATTATATTACCAGTGGATAGTTGCAGTGACTGGGAAATGTAACCATTTCCTCCTCTTAAAAAATCCTCCCTTGAATATTACATCATTCCATTTCATCTGGACTGAGATTAAAGAAAACTCTACGTATGAAGTAAAAGAGATCAGAATCGATAATGTAGTTCTACCACAAGTAGGTCTTAAAGAAATTGTTTAAACAAAAAGTGATTGTTGCAAAAGTGCCTGCAGAGCTTTGAAATGATTGGTTTCTTCCCTGAAACAAGTAATTTGCCTCTAACCAATTCCCTCTGTGTGTAAGTAAAGCAATATGACAGGTTTAGTAGAAAGAGAAAATTATTTGCCATCAAATCATCAGTACTTCAGTTTTATTATCTCAAAGACAGAAATAGACTGTTTTGTAAACATGTTTCTTATGAGGATAGGTTTCTAATGAGGGATGACAGTTTCTGATAAGATTTAATCTTACAGATTTTTTGCAAAATATATGCAGTGCTATAGAATTGAACAAAGCAAGAATTTTCTTTACAAAAGACAAGAGTTCTCTCCCACAGAGGATGTCTAGGAACCAGGCTGAGCTTTTAGAAAAATTCACAAGAAATTTTTTTTTGATAAAGCAGTTAAGGATGTGTTGTATTGTAGACCAATAAATATAAAAAAGGAAAAAAAAAAAAAAAAAGCAAAAAACAAAGCAAACATCTTTAAAAAATAATCAACTGAGGAACTGCCAGTTCAGGAATGCAGCTGATTTTCCACCTCCAAAAATGTCAGGAGGCATATCGGTGTGACATACAATCAGCCTCCTGAAGGTGGCATATGGTGGAGTTAATAAAGACACTGAATGTAACGTGAGGAAGAATTTAAACACTTTCAGTTTGCAGACTAAAAGTTTTAAGACAGTGGCACTCCTTCTTGGGGCACAGTACACGCTGCGTAGAACAGCTGTGCTCTGAGTGCATTGAGAACTGCAGGATTAAGCAGAACAGACTGCAGCTCCACATCTGCAGATTGGACTTACAGTGCTTCAAATAGTGGAAATAAAAACTGTAAAGACTGTAATGTGAGAAAACTGAAAGGAGCAGAGTGTTCTGAAAAGCAGTACGACTGGAGAGTTCCCTCAAACTGAAAACGTACAGCTGCACCCTGGCCTGCAAAGCCAAGAAATGAAGGCATCCAAAGGGGATGGAATAGCTTCAGAAAGATTTTCTGGTTGTGGGGCATTATTGCTTTGGAAAATCAGAGAATCACAGAATGGCCAGGGTTGGAAGGGACCTCAAGGATCATGAATCTCCAACCCCCCTGCCACATGCAGGGCCACCAACCTCCACATTTAATGCTAGATCAGGCTGCCCAGGGCCCCATCCAACCTGGTCTTGAACACCTCCAGGGACGAAGCATCCACAACCTCTCTGGGCAGCCTGTTCCAGCACCTCACCACCAGTAAAGAACTTCCCCCTGACATCCAACCTAAATCTTCCCTCCCTCAACTCAAAACCATTTCCATTTGTCCTGCTGTTAATATAGAATATAAAATAAATGCCCTTCCTTCCAGGAATTCTGTAGTAATGGTTCACTTGCAAAGGTTTTTAAGAACAGGTCAATTGTATAGGAGTGATAAGAAGGAAAAAAGTATGGGTTTTCTTCCAGTCTTTTTTTCTTCCTGTCCGTACTGTTTTTGTTTTCATATCCATTTAAAAACTTTTTTTTTTTTCAAATTTGTGCTATTAAAAATGCCTTTGATAAACATAACAATGAATAGAAGACCAATATTAAATTCTTCTTTCTCTTTTCTCTTTCCAGTTTTGGTACATAGCAGTTTTGTGTGTTCCACAAATTCATCTTTCACATGCCTCATCATTAGAAAAACACTCAAAGGTAATAAAAATAAAAAGCAAAGGCATTCTTGATTTTCATAAAAAATATCCCAAGCAGTAAAAAAGTGGAACAAATCTCTGCAATACATACACAGCCAGGCTCTTCTGTAGTTTTTTTTTTTTGTGTTTTTTTTTTCCAGAAGCACCAGCTGTTTTTTGCATACTAGCATAAGGAACACATTTGCAGATGCAATTTATGGGAGTTTTGTTTATGCACTGGGTGGGGATTAACAGTTAATTTTAATTAATGTGGCAACACCAAGTTCAAAGAAGATGGGAAAACTGTAAATCTCCTAAGACCACTACTGCTGGCTGTGGCTGTGGATGCAGAAAAGGTCTGCATGGAATTTTCCACAGCAACATTTTTACTGAGTTTTACATGCTGTAATCATTTCTCCTTCCTTATTTCACAAGAAACCTCCTGATTTAGCAGGTCTTTAATTGCACTCTTGTGCTTTCCAATCTTTGGTGTGTCTTCATAGCATTTCTGTGGATCAGACAAATACCACTGCTGCCATTTCAAGTGACAGTTCATCAAGAAGAGCCTGTGACAGGGCAGGCACCTGACTGCAAGGTCTGTTTTCTGAGCAGCTGGCACCTGGGCAAAGCCAACCGCATCGACAGAAAAAGAATGGCACACTCATTCATGGAAACAAGTAAATGAATAGCAGGCAACCTGGATTCAAAAATAAATCATGTCAAAGCAATCTAAGTTTCCCCTGTGATAAATAATGAGCCTTGTGTAGACATGAAGCAGTGAATGTCATACTTCTTGGTAAGGCAGTGCTCTTGGCAGTTTCAGTGCTCTTGCAGTAAAGCTGGGGAAGCGAAGCCTCTGACCTGGTTGAGGAACTGCTCAGAGAATGGTCAGAAAATGGTTTGGACCGAATGAAAGGTGTGAGCAGGTTTTTTACCGTGATCAGTCTTGGGCCTGAAGTTCAATAGATCTGCTCTGTGAATTTAACTTAGCTGACAATTCAGTATGAATATTAGCAAAAATTTTCTAACAAGGACAGTTGAGCACTGGATTAACTGCAGCGTTCAGTGGCGACTCGTTACAGTTCCCCAAGCACAAGTTCAACATTTCTTTTAGGGAAAAGAGGGCAAATTCAGTGATGAGGTCCCATTTTGGCTGACACTGTACAACCGCATGTTTTAGTGGTGAAACATTTGACTGCTCCTTTCCATCCTGTTTGCACCTTCCACTGAAAGCCCACTGACCTTGTCAGGTCACACCCAGATCTGGCATAGAAATCAATGAATAGAGCAAAGCTGTCCTAGGAGAAGACTCTTCTTACTGGGTTGGTTTTTTGGTTGGGTTGGTTGGCCTTGTTTATTTGTTTGTTTGTTTTTTTCTGGCGTTTTTTGTTTGTTTGTCTTTGTCATTGGCTTTCCTGTTCTTCCAGACTCAGCAGAAAGCCAAAAGAATGAGCTTGGGATGGAGGATGAGAAGATTGGGGTGATTTTACAGTTTGGTTCCTGGCTGGGTATGCAACACTGGGCTCTTGACCTACTCCATATCCAATATGGGAACAGTGTGACAGTCACACCCAGCGGCTGCCATTAATGCAGGGACACACAGCCACAGGGCTCACAAATTCAGCCCAATGTACGTCCTGCTGAGAAATTCTTTCTGCCATGCAGAAGTAACAACCCAGACTGAGCCAAGTAAATAACAGTAAGCTGAGCTAATTAGTTTAATGAGCTAATATGAAGTAGCTACATCAGAGTCTCACTTTGATGCTAATTCCCTCATGTACAGAGTCCTTTTATGTCCCAGGCTGCTGTTCAAACCACTGGACCAATTTGCCAGCCTCTGTTAATTTAAGTCTGTTATTAATGAATGAGAAAGTGCATGGATCTGGTTGCAAGAGAAGGATATTTGTTTTATTTCATCCTGTCATAGCTTTTCCCTCAAGGTTTGTCTCGCTGAGAGGGAAGTCTCACTACCAGAGAAGGACATAAATAGTGCAAAGTTTTTTCTGGAGCTCAGCTGCTGTACGCAGTCCCTTTAGGCTCTGCAAAGTTTTAATGCTTTCTGGTAAAAGCATTGACTTCAGGTCTTCTAAACAAAACTCACCAAGATGCTTGCAGCCTGTCCCTGCGCTTTCATAGCAGGAGCCCTTTAGCTTGTTTGTCTCTCTCCTGCCTTTTTTTTTTTCACTTAAATGTTCAGTTTACTTTTCTAAAGTGACTCCTATGTACTACTGAGTGCCCCTCTTTTACCTCACTCCTAACATTAGCATTACAGCATTTTTTGTTTCTTTTCAAATTTCCTTTCCTTTTCTTTTGCTATTCTTCTTGTTGAATATAGATTTTTCTGCTTCAGCTCTTGGTCTCACCTTTCTTACTGAGACAAATGTCTGTTTCTGGGATCTTTTGTGTGGTCACAAATCTGTGTATTATCTTTTGATAATGTAAATACACAGCTGAAGTCTTCTTTAAGAATGATCCCATGGCTTTTTGATATCAGCTGTAGAAAGGAGCACCTGTGAGCCCACTGTTAGCCAGAAAAGAGCCTTTGAAATAGTACTTTCTACTATTTATCATTTAACACGTTTAATAAGCTGTATTTTATCAAATATCACTGTATCTTTTTCAAATGGTTTTTGAGAATGTCTCACCATTTTTGTTTCCTAGATTCCAGATAATGTGAAAATGTTGCATTTTTCTCTGGAATCATCCCATAGCAAATTCCAAATCAATGTCTTCTGTAGAAGTGGTGTAGTGTTTTCACGATTCCACTATTCACTTCTCACAAGCAGAGTGTCGACGGCACCAGAAGGGGAACATATCTAGGGGAAACACCAGCATGATACAAGACTCAGGATTTAAAATACATGGACTATCCCTAAGATCCTGTTATTAAACTGAGGTGTTCAGTGCCACATCGAATTCAGTGTGGTGGGGGCTGATGCGCAAGGGATGCTCTAGCCCAGAAAAGCACAATCTTTGCAGCTGGGCCATACAACTGCACCACACAACTACTGCTACGACACAAGCCAAAGACTGATCCTTTGCTGAAAACACTATCAGTAACAAAATCTTTAGCTAAATTAGGCTTTATTAATTGATGGATTGACTTTCCAATGTGGTAAAGGAAATGTAATTACAATGTGGACAGAACATGAGCAACTATTCAACTACTGAAAGGTACTTCAGAAGGACAGCCTGTATTTGTGAGTGAGCACACAGCTGCTTGTTGTGAGACGGAAACCCAGACGGAACGTTGGTGGCCAGAAGCAGAGTTAAATGCATTAAAAACTGGTTTTAAAAATATGAGTAACAGACTGTAATGCTGAAATAGCCGCACACGCACACTGACTGCTTTCCCGCTCCGCCTGCCAGTGCCAGTCCCTGTGTTTCCACCCCGCACATCTGACGAGACCACATTAACATCACGGCACAAAATTAACTGCATTAGTTTCACACCAGGACTTGTGAACTATTCAGGACAGCAACGGGGGAAGCCTGAAGGTTATTTATTAACACTACAGGGCCTCGCATCCGCGGCTTCTCACATCAGAGCCAATACAAGCGGACTGACGCGCATTCGAGCGTCCGCCACACCGCGCAGCGCACGGCACGGCTGAGCGCGTCGAGCTTCCCGCCCTCGGGGGAAGCTCCCTGCAGACACGGCCGGGCCGCGCAGTGCCGGCAGCGCTGCCTCGTGCCGCGGCTCGGCACAAAGGCGCGGCGTGATGTCGGCGCAGCGCCGGTGGGCGCGAGGGGCATTGTGAGGCGCCCGGCCACGTGCCGCACGCGTGGGCTCCCAGCGAGACGCGTGCGGATCTCGAGCCACGAAAAGTTTATTTCTCCACCGTCGCGGTGCTCGCGTGATCGAAATCCGGCTCCTTTTCCATCTTCTCGATTTTACGGGACGCACGTCCCCGTCTGCCCGGCAGCAAGAAGGCTGCGAAGTGCGGCCGACGCTGTTCAGCCACCGTTCAGCGCTCGCTCCCCCTCCAGCGGCCGCTCCCCGGCGCCCACCGCCGCGCTGGGGGCGGGATGCCGGCGGGCGCGGGGCGCGGAGGGGCTGAGGGCGGCGGCGCCCCCCCGGGCCGGGGGGCGGGGGCGAGCACTGTCCCGGCCGGCGCTGATCTCACGCTCCCATTGGCCGCTGTCTGCGCTGACGTCACGATCATGATGAGAATTAATGATCGGAGGCGCTGATTTCATTGTGTGACGCCGGGACCGACCCAGCCGAAACCGGCTGAATCCGGAGCCCCGAGCCCCCCAGACCGGCCCCGCGCAGCACGGTAAGCGGGGCCGGGCGGCGGCCGGGTCCCGGGGCCGAGGGGTGCGGCCGGGGGCCGGGCCCGTGAGGCGCCGCGGCGGGGCCGGGCGGGCGGGAGGCGCCCCGGGGCCGGCGGCCTGGCTGTGGGGGAGGGCGGCCGCGCGGGCTCGCTCTCGCGCGCAGACCCGCCTCGGCCGCGCACGCGCACTGCGCCTCCCCCGGCGGCCCCGCACGGGCAGGCGCTGCGCACCCGCCGCGAGGGAAGCGCGCACGCGCACGGCCGCTCGGCGCGCTCCGTGTGTGCGTCGGGGAAAGGTTCTCCCTGCGCGTGCGCGCACCTCAGCGCGGCGCGAGCGGGTTCGGGCTGCGGCCGGCTGAGGGAGGGCGACTGCGCCTGCGCGCTGCGCTGAGCCGGGTGGGAGAGCGGCGGGGCGGAGTTGCGCATGCGTAGAAGGCGCGTCACCGCCCTCTGCTGCACGGCGGGGTGGGCGTTGCTGTCGTGGTGCCGCTTGCTTGTGTTCCTTCTGTTACTAGAGCTCAGGTTAAAAGCAAGCAAGCAACCCAGAGCACCTGTTTTCTTTTGTCGCTGTGCATTAATCCCTGGCAGCTTTGTAACGTAAATGTGTTTTACACAGGCACTTGTAGCGTCATGTACTCTGAGTGGAAATGTTCCTAAGTACGATTTCAGGTCCGGGGGAATTTCTGTTTGGAATTATAGGGCTACGCGTAAGTTCGTATTTCCCAGCATTCAGGGGAATTGTACTGTCAGTGCAGTGCTCTGCCTCGTGAGGCTGCTCGGCTCAGCACTCTCGGTGCCTCGTGCCTTTCTGATGTCTGCAGATGTTGTAAATGACAAAAAATGTGTATTTCTTTTTCCTTCTGTTGCTGCTTCTCGTTTTATGTATTTCTTTCCCAAAATCTTTGAAGCAGTCATGGCAGAACAGATAAATAGCTGTTGGACACACTTGTTCTTGTTTCTCCACATGGAGCCGTTAGCACAGGGGCATTCCCTCTTTTCTCCCCTTGATGCTCCTTGACACCAGTGTATCTTTGGACAGCCTGGAGAGCTTCCTAATTCCCTGTGCTGAATGGAGTCGTAATGGCCACCCATAGGGCACAGCTGTTCATGAAGCCTGTGGTTCATAAAGAGAATGCAGTATTACTTCATAAGCCAACCTGGCATTAATTCCTCTGTGTTCCCCCTCTCACTCATGCTTGCTCTTGCCACAAGAAGGCAAAGATGATAAATATCTTTGGGAAAAGTCGCTGAATCGTTGTCTAAAGAAGTTCAGTCGTAGAAATAACCTTGATCTCCTCTGATAAGGAGCAAGTGTGACAGGCTGAAATGTGTTAGTAGGGTCGTCCTTCCCGAGGCTCATATTCAGCAGCCTTGAAGAAACTGAAGGGCATTGCAGTACCCATCTTCATTCTTACTGTTACAAGCTGTAGATCCCCAGGGCCTGATTTCAGCACTCAGAGTACATTTATGTCTCCCTAACCACTGCATTTAGAGAAGAGCTTCTACTGGTAATATATATATATATTTTTCAATTAGTACTTGGTTTAGAAAGGGAATGAAGTTCAACATCTTCATCTTGGTGGGCTCATTGTAGATTGAGGAGTGGGAGATCACCAGGAATTACTGGAAAGCTGAATGATGCTAATTGGCTTAGGGTTTATAACAATTGTGAAGGAAATTCAGCAAACCTAATTTTTCATTTGTCGTAAATTGTTCCCAGCACTGTCACTTAAACATCAACATGCATGCCAAAACTGCCTCATTTTATTAGCAGAGCAGGCAGGTGTTGAATTGTTACAAGCATGGCTTTGTTACCCCTAGCTCTTATTGAAGATTCTTTTTGCATACTGTTCAGCCTGAATTTCACAAATTTCACAGCATTCTTTTCTGAAACAAACTCTCATTTCAGTTTCAATGTGTTGCCCACCAGCTGGACGCCTGGTTTTCCAAAAAGCTCCAACGTGTCTTTTCTAAGCTTGACGAGTCAAGATTAAAATTCAATTATGATAAGAATCCATGTGGATTTCTAACTTGGAGTCTGCAGCTCAAGATAAAGGTGAGAAATCTAAACAAACTGGTATGCTTTGTAGGTACACAAATTGGGAAACGGAGATTACATCCTTTGGTGTTACAGATTATCCTGAATAATACCAAGTTCATTATGGAGACGTATGAGCTGCTGATTCCCTTGGTACTAATGTGGCTGCATTACTGCTAGGTAATGTGAGCACTTAAGTTATCTCCAATTTGTGTGTATTTCTACTAACAGTCAGGGAACTCTGATATTAAAGAAAATGTGAGAATTAATATCTTGTTCTGTATAGCTATGAAAACTGATGCTAAACAGGTAATACTTCTCAAAGAAATCAGGAAGTCAAAAGGAGGAAAGTAATGTCTTAACCACCTGATATTAAGGTAATTGCTGATTTCCTTCCTCTTGCTCTGTGTAATCTAAGGTCTTTGTGAGAATTTCTGTTTCCTGCCCTGCTATGAAGAGCTCATGTGTCACATGAGATTTTGTTAAATATGCAATCTAAATAGTTGAGATTTGTGATTTTTTTTTTTAATATTTTTTTTTCTAAAACAGAACCACAAGTAGTGGAGGAGTAAGAGACACAGAAGTGTAATGTGGGCCATGCCAATTGCCTTGGGGCCCCAGGCTAAAATTGAATCAAAATCAACTCACATTCAGGTTGCTTGGGGCCCCAGGCTGCCAGAATTCAAGAAGCTTTTGGATAGTGCTTTCAGGCTTAGGGTTTGGATTTTGGGTGATCCTGTGTTGAGCCAGGGTTTGGACTCAGTGGTCTCTGTGGGTCCCTTCCAACTCTGCATACCCTGATTCTGTGCTTTAGAGGTAAGATAAATCAGCTGGTGACTGCATCATCACGTGTATCCTCATGGGAGGTTGGAAGATTGATCTTAATGTTAGAAAGTAGATTTTTATGAGCTTTATTGGTTTGTTATTCAACCAATTCTGTTCAACAGCACGATGTTCAAAGCAAGTCCTTTGCCTGGCTTGAAAATAACTAAAATACAGATTCTGGGAGGTGCATAGCTCTGGCTAAGCCTGACTTTGGTAGTAATGCACTTGACTGAGAATATAAAGTAAGAATTAGGAGCAGAGGTAAAAATGTGATTACAAAATCATCTTTGATTTTTGAGCTGAAAAGAATGCAGTAATTTTTGCTTGTGCTTTTGAACCCTTAATGATTTTCTGTATTTGCTCCATTAGATGTTCTGGAAGAATTAGGCCTATTTCCACTCTACTACTTTCCATCTGAAACTTCCAAAAATAGTAATTAAAAGCTTGGTTACTACAAAGGGTTCCCCCATCCACTTTATTTTCCTTCAAGATTATGGATTCTTCCATTCATTCTGCCTTATTTTGAAGTGAATATTTAAAGTATTAAATATAACTTGTAATGGCTTTTTTTTTTTTCTTTTTTCCCTTCTTCTCCTGAAGCACAAAGTCAGATGTGGGCTATTTTTTGGACAGTAGATTGCATTGTCTCAACTGGCTCCATTTTGTTTAAGACAAAATAAAGGGCCTCTTTTGGAAATGTTGTGGTGATGGGGCTTTACTTGCTGATTTCAGTAATTCTAATCAGAATAGATAACCAGGGGATTGTATGTTATTGGCTTGCCTAGAGCATATAACTAATGTGAAACTTCACTTTGCCACTATGGAATTTCTTCTGTATTAATTTGTTTGTACTTGGTAATATTATGCAGTTTGCAATTTCCAATCTCAGGCCTGATTTTAATGTGCCATGAAGCTGTACCTGATCTAACACAGCCACTGAACTGCTGCTGAAGAGGCTGCCATGGCCCTTGGGCCTCCACCATAGCCCACATAGCTGTGGCTTCCCAGGCAGGGAGCTGGTCTATACTCCCTACAACCTTTCTGTTTGTTTGTGGTTGTTTTTTGAATTGGTCTCCAGTTCTTGTCCCTGATCTTTTTGATGTTGCAGCTGTGAAGTGCTGACACAGCAGGAGGAGTACGAATGACCAGCCATAGTACTGTAGGATTTGCTGGAGCCAGAGTCAGTGGGAACTCCTCATGCCAGACTGTAACCTGCTCTCAGATCATGTATCTCTGTTTGGTAGGGGAGGAGACATCTGCCAATCCTGCTGGAATGGCTGCAATTACTGTTTTACCAAATTCCTTTTTTTTTTATTTATTTATTTTAAGTGAAAGTAAAAGATTTTTACTTAAATTGGAAGCTGTTGGATTTAGCAATAGAATGTAATACTTTCTTACGGGATTCTGTCAGTGGAGTTCCAAACATGTAGTGCTGGACTTGAGACCGTCACAAAGGAATGCTGACTGACATGTGGTAACAGTGTAATGTGGTAACAGTGGTGCTGTTTTAGGGGGTTTTGTTTGTTTTTGAAAGTAAAAGTATTGGTAAAGGATTGCATAAGGAAAAGATGTCAGTGTGTAACATTATCACAAGCATGAATAAGTGCTTGTGCATTCTGTAAGTGTTACAGTTTGTATTCCAACTTTCAGAGTATCTTCTTTTATTTTTAGATGAATCTGCGTTCTGTATTTACTGTAGAACAACAAAGGATATTACAGCGTTATTATGAAAATGGAATGACAAATCAAAGTAAAAATTGCTTTCAGCTCATATTACAGTGTGCACAAGAAACTAAACTGGACTTCAGTGTAGTCAGGGTAAGTACTGAGGCTTTCCAAATTTGTGTGTGAGTTTGTAAGTTATTTATTTTTAAGTTATACACATTCATTCCTTTAAACCAAATATCTTCAGAGAGCTGAAGTGTCTTCCTGTGTGGCTGTAAGTCAGGCTTCATGCTTGTATGACATGTGCATTTGTATCCAGTGAGCCTGTTTACGAGACTGAAATGTCATGGCATGATTGCTGTATTAAGCAGGTGTTTGGTGGCACAAGGAGTGTTTGTTTTGTTGTTGGTTGTGGTTTATTTTTGTCTTTTTGTCTCTTGTTGATTTCTGTGGTTGTATTTTTTTAATTAAACTACAAATGGAATTGCCCTATAGAAACTTCATGCAGTGTATTTTAACAAAGAAAGGTGATGTTGGTAGAAAACTATTCTTAAGGTAAAGCAATTTCTATGACCTAATGTGTTTTGGGGGAAAATATCACAGTTTTTCATACAAAACACTGCCACATTAATATTCCATGTCACAATGAGAAATATTGTGTCACATATTATTTACAGTGACTACATTGTTTTCTTATAGAAGAATGTCAGTCGTGCTAACAGGAGCTCTTCCAAAGTCTATGAATCCCATGAGAAGGGAAATAAGAATCCCTTTGTGAAACACTAAACAATAAAATGGCTGCTGGCTTGGAGCAGAAATAGAAATCATGGAGCATAAGCTGAAAGAATAACAGTGGTAGTGAAGCTAGCAGTAGGTGTTGCAACACTGGGCGTTGAGGAGTAGAAAGTGAGACCAGCCTAATTCTTCTTAGACATGTGCCTATGGTAAACTGAAAATAACATCCACTCCTGCCCCTTAATTCTTAAGATTCCCCTCTCTCAGGATACTCTGGAAATACTCAGGTTACTTTCTCAGCTAAGGATGCTCTGAAAGTCACCCATAAATTCTAACTCACTGCCACAGATGGAGAGTTGTAACAGGAGTCTGCTTGCTGGTGGTGTAGTTGTGCCTATTTTTCTATTTTTACTCTGATTAAGGACCTAGAGGAGGCAGCCAGTCTCTCCTCTGTTTGCACTCCTCATTCATCTTCCTATTACAATTCCCTTCTCTATTACCCTTACTGCAATAATGTGTCATAGCCTTTTTCTTTAGTTGTCTTCTTTGTTGAGCCCTTCTTTACGTAACATATATTCTTCCTACTTGTGATCTGAAATGGAAACATACCATTTGTCCTGCATTTGTCTTATTTTTTTATGATCTTACCTTTCTCTTCTTCAGACTTCTCCTTTTTGCTTCTTAGTTAGCAGCCTGCTGTTTTGTTTTTCTGTAAGACTTTTGGTCCAGGATTAGTACTTCCTTGGATGCTGTCTAACAGAATGAAGCGTAGGTTGCAGCTGACGCTTGTAGATATGACTAAAAGAGGAACACAAATTACCTAAATGATTATTATAATTCAAATTTCATAACTCTATAAATAAACTAATTCATTTCCCAAGTGAGGATTTCTGTAACCCTGTTCCAGAGAACTACATCTGGTTTTCCTAATCTCGAGGTGTATTGGGAAGAAGTCCTGTTATGATTTGGTGGGAACATCTGCAGGTTTTATTACTGCAATACATAAAAAATTCCTCTCCCTTCCAAAATTAGGAAACATGGAAGATTACTTCTAGGAAAATCCTCTACCCTCTTCAAATTTAATGGAGCTGAATGTTGAACCATGCAGGGTTTGAATGGCATGGTTTTGTTGATTAATATTAGGATATTTCTACTGTTGGTTGGTTGGCTTTGCAGTAAGTATGAGCAGGTATGACTTGTTAAAGTGCAGTAGTTCTCCAATCTTCAGTCTTCATAGCTGTTATCACCAAGTGCTGAGGAGCACTGATCTGGATGGTGGTATGTAGTTCTCCCCTCAGTACAACAGTAAATGTGACTGTAACTGAGCACTTAAAGCTTCATTATTCTTTCATATCTCTTGAAGCAGTTCCTGAGGACATCTTGTTGTCATATTTAGGGTGGAACTGGTTAAAACTAATGGCTGAGTACTACTGATACACACTCTGTGGTGTGTATATAGATTATGGGACAGTCTGAAATTCAGGGGGGGGTGTCTCTTTTCCTGGCTCAGAATCTGCAGTATCCCTAATAGTAATTTCTGGTTTAAAAGTTTGCTGACTGAGAAGAAATAATGAAAAATAAATTTGATCTTCTAAATTTGTTTTAAGCAATAAAAGGAAATAACTTGAGACTTGCAGCTCTAATTTCATGTATTTAAACTTGGTTCTGTAAAGCAGAATTCTAAAACAAGCAGCTGAGATTTGATTGATGCAATAAATCATGCTTCAAATTAGGCATTTTGTAAAATTGAACAAGAAACATGAGTAGAGTGGATCAGGGATTTCAAGATATTTCTTTAAAATAAAGGAGTGTATTTTGCTCTAGAACATCTACTTACTTCCCCAACAGGTGTTAATATGTGAAGAAATCTTGCCTTCTTTCATGTGATGAAGTGGAAATCTGAGATAGGTACTCAGTGCTGTTACCTTGTAGTGGGGTGAAGTGGTTTATTGATTAAATCAACTCGTTTGGGCTGCTCAGTGCTGAGATATGCTGCACACCTGAACCAAACCAGGGCACATGATACCCAGAGTGGTACAGATGACTGTTTCACTGTATCTATATATAATAACCAGCAGGAGCTGATGCTAAAGGATTAATATTATTTTTTTAGTTCTTTGGCCCTTATGTCTGCTTACTTATACTGTCACATTCAGTACAAACATACTGTGGTGAAAGAATGAAGCAAGTCCTGCCTTGCTGATCATGGAAGTTCCCAGGAGCAGTGAGATGGTGCTTATGCTTCTAGTGTTAGAGCTGACGATTCCACCAGGTTAATTCTCTTTATCTTGGAACACTGAAGTTATTATTTCCCCTTAAGTTCCTTTAGTGTATCTTAGTTTGTTACTTGCATGACAAGCTTTCCTCTGTGTTTAGAACAACAGGATCTTGTGCTCAACTCTTACAGCAAAGGAAGAATTACCTACTTGAAAAATGTATCTATGTATGGTCATTGCCACTTTCAAAAATGCCTATCATAGCAAACCTCTGTTGCAGTCTAACCCCAATACTAATCTTGTCTTGTGCAGTTAGCAGAAGAGGAATTACTCTGTAGGTTTGAATATTTTATAAAAGTGTTTTATCAGAAGGAGTTGTTCCTGTTCTTCTCTTCTTCCTCTTAACTTAAATTCAAGAAGTAACGGTTTCTGGTCAAGACAATTCTGAGAGTTGTGTTTGTCAGTTACTTGGTTACAGAATCTTCCTTCTTTTAGAAGTAAATTTAGCTGTATATCTCACTGAAGGTTTGGCATCCCAAAATGCTAAATATAAAAACTGTTATTTAGGAAAAATAGTGATGGGGTGCCAGTGAAATTAATCTTAAGGATGGCCTTGGGATAGGAGGCATGATACAGTCTCAAGGATTCTGAGATACTGGAGATTTGAAGTCAAGATGGCTTCTCGTGTATTGCTACATGAGTCCCAAGCATGAGAGACATGCATTTCTACCTTGAGTTGTTCAGAATCTGCATAATCTAAACTATAGATCATAATTTATGGTCTCAATTTCAACACTTAACATTTTATCAGATCTGCTTAAAACTGAAATTGTCTAATGTTTTCTGCTTATTTACTGCTTGTGTTTGTTATTGTTTGCAGACGTGGGTTGGCAATAAAAGAAGGAAGATGAGCAGCAAGAGTGCTGTAGAATCTGGAGGTGCTCCCCCAGGGACTGCCCCTGCTGCTCCCTTGGTACCGCCGGAAGCAACAGTTAGAAATGTGGTAAATATTGCTCGGTCCCAAAGTCAGCAGTCTTCTTGGACCTCTTCTAATAACGATGTAATAGTTACTGGTATATACAGTCCTGCTAGTTCATCCAGTAGGCAAGGATCCACCAAGCAAACAAATGCTTCAATGGCAGAAGTACATAAAACCTCTATTCCGAGACTACCAGGAAAAAGTGATGCAGACTTTCAGCAGCAGCACATCCCTATAGGGAGACAAATACCACACTGTAAAAATGCCTCACTATTAGTAGGGGAAAAAACTATTATTTTATCTAGACAAACAAGTGTACTGAATTCTGCGAACTCCATTTATAGTCACACAAAAAAAAGCTATGGTGGTTCATCAGTCCAAACTGCAGAGTTGGTGTTACCTCAGAAACCAATGATATGCCACAGACCCTGCAAAGCTGAACTCATGGGATGTCAGAGGTTACAAAAACCAGAACATGCAGCTCTTGCATCGCATGTGCCCCCTGGACAAAGGGCTAACACTAGGGACCCTTCCTGTAGCACACAAAACCTGGAAATCCGCGAGGTTTTTTCTCTGGCGGTTACAGATCAACCTCAAAGAATTGTGGGAGGAAGTACAGCACAGAAGCATTGCTCAGTGGAAGGCAGCTCTCTGTCCATTGCGATGGAAACTGGAGATGTGGATGATGAATATGCTAGAGAAGAAGAACTAGCATCCATGGGAGCACAAATACAAAGCTATTCAAGATACTGTGAAAGTAGCAGTTCTGTTCGAGTGGAGAACCAAAGTGCAGCCTTGTCTGGGCCAGGAAGAAATGTGAGCTGTAGTTCTCAGATGGTGAATGCCAGGGACGTGCCTGACAGTATGCTGTATCATAGCAGAGACTACCACTTGCCTGCACGGACCTCATTACATACATCCAGTACATTATATAACACTGCTAATACATCAAGAAGTACTTTTTCTCCTCATTTTACATCTTCAAATCAACTGAGGCTGTCACAAAACCAAAATAATTACCAGGTAATCTGTCAATTATCTGTCTGCAAATCTTGAAGACAGGGTCATTGATAAGTACTGTTATCTTTGGAATTTGTTAGCAAGTAAGTGGTAGGTTTGTATTTCTGTAACTGTGCTTAATTTATGTCTTTCAGCAGAAAGGTGGAAGTGAAGGTAGGACTGTGGTATGGTAGTATTTTTATCTGGGTAGCTGAGCCTGTGGCTGCAGTGAGTAGTCACATACTGAAGATCAGCATGGGCTTTGTGTATTCAATAGATAAACTTTGTTTACATGGGGATCATGCCTGTGATTGCTGATACATGCTAAAGCCCTGTGTCCTGACTTGGCTTACCAGTGCATGTCACAGCTGGACCCTTTGGTCCTCTGCAGACATACTTTGCATGTGGCACAGGGTAGAACATGGGATCACATCCTCATCCATGTGCTGTACAGTTGCTTGCCCTTATTAATGTCAGATTGGATTAGCTCTTCCATCAATGTCTTATGACTGACAAGCTGTTATATTACTCATTTCTTTTGCATGCTATTTCTGTTTTAATTTATCCTGAAAATGAACCATATAAAAATATATCATCTTTTAATGTGTGTTGCTCACTAGTATAGGGCACAATAGGATATATGGTGGTTTTTCTCTGTTTTTTTTCTTTTCTCCTCTTCTTTCTGACTTGTTCCTATATCCTGTCAGAATTTGAAAGAAGGATTTTTGAGTCTGTAAGTGCCCCTTCTCACCAGAAATCACCAGAACTACTCTGGTCTGGATTCTATGTAGTAAATAGGAGACTGGCTTACTTGTCCTTACTTGTGGCCTTTTGTAAGCTGAATACTTCAAAGGAGCTGTTTTTTCCCCTTTCTCCTTTTTCCTCTCATACAGTCTGTCAGTGTTTGATATTACTGTTCTTGAATTTAAAAAATTTGTTAAATACTGTTTAATATGAGAAGAAAAGCTATAAATATGTACATCCCTTTTGTAAAGGGACTGTAAAACTGCGAAAGTGGATAAAGTACAGTTAAGGAAACTTGTTGAGAACAGTTTCACTTAATGAAATACAGTATGGATACGTCCAGCTGTGTGCTCTTGGTGCTTTATTTCACCTTTGAAAAACTGTCAGTATGTTTTTCTTTCTTTCTTTTCAAATCTCATTACAAATTAAAAGACAACAACAACAACAAAGCTTGGATTTGGAATGCTTTGGGGTAGGCCCTGAATCTCTATAGATAAAACGTCACCTATCATGAACCATTCTATCTGGCCATGTGGTATGGTATAAATCGGGTCAAGGATGTCTCTATAACTTACTTTATTGTTGTTTCTTTGATGCTTTTGTCTCTGTTACAATGATGTACCTATTGTTTGGTAAGTGAGGAATTCTTCTTTACACCGTTTGACTTCCATGAGAGTCTTTCACAAACCCTTTGCCCTTTGGAATTAGGAATATACCTTGGATTGAGGGAAATCCTATTTCCTGTGGCATCCTTTGCCCTTATGCACTCTTAAACCTTGGAAGAACTGGGAAGGTTGCTATTAGTGCATTTGTTGTTGTAGCAATCCACTCTGTGAAAATATTAAGATAGCACTTCTCAGTATCAGAATTTATAGGGGAAGACAAAACCTGTGGTCTTAAGGCATATCGTGGTTCTGTAGAAACTGCAGAGGAGAAGTGTCCTACAAGCTGGGCAGATCCTGTACTGCCTTGAAGGAATGGTGGCTCTGACTTCTGATTGCTGTATTCCTTGGTGAGAGTTCTAGCACATTTCAGAGCAGTGCCAACAGTGAAAACCCTTAAACACAGCGATATCTTCCTCAATTTAAAAACAGATTAAACTTGAGTTACGTGACTGTGAGACTAGTTAAACATCTAAGTAGATGCTTCTTCAAAGGCAGGAACGTGTGATGTGTGTTTTGATGAAGTGGTTACTGTTGTACATTGGTGGGGCATCTAATTAGCAATTAGTTGTAGCTTTCTTACTGGTCTGGTTAATCAAATTCATCTTAGTGTAACCTAGAAATAAATTTAATAAAATGATTGATTTTAATGCCTGAGCAGTTTTGCTAAGCAAATTGTTCAACCTACTAACTTCTGTTTGTTTGGCATTGAGCAGGAGAGGCTGTTTTCACTGGTCCTTAGGGCTGAGTAGGGATTTATCCTTAGTTTCCTTCCCCAACCCTACAAAAATACTGTTGAAAGTATGTGTGTTGTGTTTTTTTTAAATTACTTTGTTATACACACTGAAGCACTGTTAATCTAATTTAGTCCCTTCTCTTCTAAGGAAAATTCCAAGTCTTGCAGCAAGTACGGCAGGGTAGGATATATATAGTATTTATTTCTTTATTACTAAGTTTCACTTTAAGGATGCTTACAGGCTTGCAGAGGTATGATCAAAGAGAGCACGTGGGAATGCTGGGGAGAGCAGCAGGGAGCAGGCTGCAGGAGCACTGCCTGCCACCTCCACTTCCAACAGGGCATGCAGCAGCTGAGGGTGGTGGGGGGCTGCTGAATTGTCCCAGTGCTGAGAGTTCAGGACAGGGAATCCACAGGTGAACTGGGAAAAGGCTGTGCAGGGACCTTGTAGTGCACAATCACTTCTAGCGCCATTTTACATTTCAGTGTATGTTTCCATGTATGTTGCCTTTCAGGCAGTTACACTGAAGTACTGTATTTGATGTCAGATCTGTCAGAATTAGTGTGCGTTCACCTTCCAGTTAACTGTTAATACTCTGCCATACCTTTTACTTGCACAGAAAAGCACTGTTTTCTGTAGCTCCACTTGTGTTGCTCTTTTGAGCTAGAAGAATATACACTAGTGTTAGATGTGATCCAAATCAGCTTCACATTGTAGTTAATTTAGCAGGGGAAAAAACACAAAACAACTGAACAGGAAAGCCTCAGAAAAGCCACCTGTGCGACTACAGAATGCACTGCTGTTGTTTGGGACATCAAATCTTCATAGTCGTAACATGGTTCTAAAATGTGTGCTACTAAGAAATGAATAATTTAAATATGAAAGCTGATGCAGACTTCCTTTTAGGAGAGAAAAGTGTTTAATTCTAGCTCTCTTCCTCAACCCTCCTTGTGCTGTAATGAGAGTCTGCCATTAGGTAACTCAGCACTCAGCTAAAAGCTTGGAGAATGAAGTTATTGTATGATAGACAAACTGTACCAGGTATTCTATATTCAGTCAGACACATGCTGAAAGATTCATTATTAGAGCATTTCCCTAATACAAAATCTTTAGTGTAGTTGATATAGTCATCAGGAGGAGATTTGTCTTCCTCATGTACAGCGTGAGTAGTGACATGAGATTAATCAATCTCTCGAGCTATGTTTATTCTCTGAAGCATTGCTCGTCTGTAACAGAAGCTGATGTGGAATTCTAAATAAGCCTAAAATATTCCAGGCTATGAAACATTGCACGTGTCCAGGGAAAATAATACAAGATTTTATTTTATTTTTTAACAAGTCTGATGTCTGGGAATGATGGAGAAGTAATGAGAATCAGGGGAGCTAGCCTTCACCTTCATGCCCATTCCTCTTCCTTCATTAGCCTCATGTCCCTAGTTTTTTTCCTACTCTGCAAATTCTTGGTATTTGACATTGAATAATTCAGTTACTGATGTCCTGGTGGATTTCGTTTTTTTTCATTCTGAAAGTTTAAGTGATAAAAATAGAACAGTTCTGTTAAACATCAGGCCTGTGACTAATTCTGGTCTGCTTAATCTTTCAAGCTTTGTGCAGTTGTGAGATGTAAACTTGTATTCTGAACTGTAAGTTTTGAGATAGCAAAAGTCAATAAGTATCTGAATTGCCATTGTGTTGTCATTCTCATGTGAAGAAGCAGTTGTTTTTAGTCCTGTAACAGTAACGCTGAGTGTGGCTTTGTTTTGCTTCTAAATCTCATTTATCTTAAATGTTGTGATCAGAACCAAATGCACAGTATTGAAGTCTTCTGAAAGTTGCTCACTATTTGTTATTGTAGCAACCTAAGCTGCTGTTGTTTTCTGTTCTGTTTTCCCCTTCTTCTCTACAGATTTCAGGAAACCTTACTGTGCCTTGGATTACAGGTTGTTCCAGAAAAAGAGCAGTAAGTATATTTCCATTCAGGTATCTAATACATCAGGTACAGGAACGAGAAGTTTATCTAAATGTATTCTTGGAAATATCAAGTCCTGTTGTTGTACATTCCATCTTTTTTTTTTTTTTTTTTTCTTCCATGTACAAGTTTTCTTGAGATTGTAGCCTTTTTCTGGAAGGCACCATCCCACTATCATTTAATGACCTTTTCAAACATCAAGCAGGCAGTCAGTGCCCTCGAGTGCAGTTTCAGTAGCTGGCTGAGGTGGTTTCACAACACTTCACAGTTGAAAAGGAGGAATTTTATTCCACCCACGCTCCCTAAGGTGCACTGCCACCCCAGCCATAACACTGGTATCTAATTGCAAGGTAATCCAAATTAAGCATCTGACCTGTCAGATACATATCTCTTCCACTGAGTTTCTTTCTGCAGAGTTTGTATTTTTCCAGGTTTTAGTGAGCTGAATGTACTTGGGATCAGATGAGCACTAGCTTTAAGTAGGCAGCAGCATCGTGTGGCTGGGAGCAATGAGGAGGGTGGGGCAGCAAGAACTAGCTGTGAGTTTTTACAATGGCACTCTTATTTCCTTATGACACCATAGTGCCAAAATGCCCCTTCCTGTGTGCTTTCCGTCTCTGTGGGGTGTGAGTAGCACTGGTGCACGAAGGCAGTTACTGATGCTGATTGCAGCCACGTGTGGCACGTTCTGTTGTCCTGGTCCAGTGCAGAGCCCTCAATAACGGCGAGGTTATTGGGAGAAACACCAAATCTCCTCTTGTGTCCTTAGTTTAATATCAGTGGATAATGTTTAGGTAAGACGTCTTCAACTTTTGACAGTCAGTAAAATTATAATTTAGGAATGATTCTAAACATGGCATTTCTTTCTGAAAATACTTACCTGTTCTTTGCTATCATTCAGACTTTGTGACACTTCATGTTCAAATCAGACAGACTTAAAATGTTTTTCAGTAGGGAATAACGATTGAGCATGTTACATTTTTTCCTATCAATTTCTTCTTTTCTGTATGTACAAACTGAGACGCAAAACATTTGCATGGACTTTGGGTAATTAGCTTGCCACTTAGGTTTCAGTGTGTATAGTGTGCGTATGATAGGGATGGGTGAGAGAAAACGTGGGTGTGGAATTTCTTGAAGCTTGGGCAGGCACATGAGCAGCTCAGTGAGCAGCTGACATCTTTTCTTGCAGATATTTGGGGCATTTTATCTCCTAATGAGCTACGGATTTGCTGACTGATTCCTTCTGTAGCAGGGGAAGTTACTGTGCCAGTCTGCTCACTGTTTGCAAGTGAGATATCTCCAGGGGTAGAGTCTCCTGGGGAGGGGTTGGTGGATCCACTTCCTTCTGGCATTTCAAGTATAGCTGTCTTTCCCCACAGCATGCCATACTCCCACTCTTATTTTGGAGGTAAGCAGTGCAACTTCTCATTTCTCCAGCCTTAGGTATTTGGACCACTTAAGGGAAGGCTTTTCCATTAGCATCAGCTGCTGCTTAAGCATTGCCTGTCTCCATAAACTGTAATTTTAATCACCTATTTAACAATGTAAACTATTTTTTTCCAATCCATTTTTGCTCTGAATTCCCTATGTAAAAGAATTTGCTTCTTTTTCTCTTTCCTTCTCCCATTCCTTTTCAACCAGGATGAAGCACAAGACTGACTGATTGATTTTTTTTTATTTTTTTTTTTATTATTATTTTTTCCCCCCTCTTTTTGCTCTATGAAGGCTGCACTGCCATCTGGGGATGAACATAACTGGAAAATGTAGATGTAAGCAATTGCAGTAGATAAAATGCAGTAGATGCTTCAGGGAGGTTATGTTATGACTGAGAAGGCAATGGGTACACTTCCAAAGCAGCCATCTTCACAGCACAAAGTGAACCATAAGCGGAGCTTCTCCTTTGCTGTGCAGGGCAGAAAGCATTCATCTTTCTGTCAGTCATTCCAGATAAATTAGTTCTGATGGCAATATTTACCCTTATCTGATTTAAATTGGGATGTTGGACTTTTCCATAGATAAGTCTATGTAGAGTGAGCTGGATAAGCAATCAAGGAACTGGATGGCTTGTAGGTTGGTATTCAGAAGTTTTATTTCTTTATAGGTGACCAGGAAAATGGTAATGGCCAGGTGTGGGATTGGCACTCCAAAACTGGTACATGTACACAGGTGTAAGGAAATGAAAGAGAGGAAAATCTCCTACTTCTTAAGAAACTTCAGTTTCAAATGTGAAATTCTTCTGAAGAATTTTTTCTGAAGAAAGAACATGAGGAAACAGAAATAGAATGCATGGAGTTGTAGAACTGTGATTATGGCAATTACTACCATTCAAGCAGCAAAAAGGCTGATCTGTATTTTGTTTAAAATAGAGAAGACTGTGTTTTAGATGCTCTGAATTTGTTTTAATCTTTTTCCTTGTAATTTGTTTTCTTCCCCTTGTCCTTCAGCTGCATCGAGTCAAATAACTGTGCAGTTCTACAGAAACTCTTGCTGGTCTGCTTAGCTGTGCTCTAGAATGACGTAATCCTGACTGTTAGTGAATATTAGTGTAGAACTATCACTCTGTTATTCATGTGAATGTCTTTCAAATAACGTGGAGTTCTGTACTGTGAAGTAAGGGGATGGCTTCTGTCCTGAACGTTTGCATTTTGATTTTAGATCACTGGGCCATTACAGCCAATTTCAATAAAATTCTAGAGACACTGGCATTCAAGTGTTCCGCTCAGAGTTCTGTCTGTCACAGGAGTACAGTCACGCACTTTGGATCAGGTAAAGGACCAGATTCAGCTCTGTTGCTGTGAGTCCTGCCACCAGCTGAACTTGCTCATTTGGGGGAACAGGCCATTGGCAGCTGGTGTATGTGGAGGACACTGGTGGTGTGGGCACGTCAGTACAACTGCTGAAGAAAGTTCCTTGTTGGAATGTAATCTAAAAACCTATGAAAACTGCAGCCACAGTAAGCCTATGTGCACTGATGAAAACTATATCTGGGTGGCTTTTAAAGTAAAGAGGGAGCCCACAGGGTTTAAAACCAAGTGCACTTCAGTTAAGCCTTTTTATTTTAAAACTGTATGCCAATATTGAAATATTTATTAGTCCTGCCTCCCTTGGAGCAATCATCAGGCTTACTGAAATAGTGGAACAAGGTGCAAAAAGTCTCTTCCAGAAATCTGAGGTTGCATACTAGTGGTACAAGAGCTGTAATGGTTTGCAGTCCATATCCAAACACGTGTCTGTCTGAAGGCTCTGCAGATTGCATTCTTCTCTGTATCTTCTGCTCTATGAATGAGACTTGGTGGTAACAGTTCTAACAGCTCGCTCATAGCCATTTTGCTGGGGGCCTTCTGGTATGTTTCTTTGTCTTAAGATTGGAAGTGTCTTGTGATAGGTACTGATCTGCTCACGTGCTGACAAAGGAAATCTTGAGATGGGGAAAATTTGTGTCCAGAAACCAACACTCCAAATCATTTTAGTAATTATGGCACCAGCTGCATCCTTATTTATTTTAAATTCCCCAGGAAGAAATGTGTATCCTGGGAGTCCTAGTGGGTTGGGTGGATGTGCACATAGGGCACCAGCCCACAGACAACAGGCTCTTAAGGGATACTCTGACTGATATTTCTGCTGATAGTGCTAAGGGAAAAGTCAGTCCAAAATTTTAAAGGTTGTTTTAGTGTCAGGAAAGCAAATTCTATACTCTTGAGTTGTGTGTGGCTGAAGGCTAGCCTGTCAGTTCTATAAAGAGATGCACAGTTGGCCATTGGAAAAGAAATTGCAGTGTTTGCTAGGAAGCAAGACACTCTGTAGTAGTGACTAGTATGTGTTGCAAGAAGTTCATTTGCTAGAAGTAACTGTGGTCTTAGAACACTTAATCACAGAGCATCAGAACTGGCTGCTGAATTCTCTTTGATTTCAGTGAAATTCAAATGTAACTCTTCATGTGGAGCAACATACAGTGTTCAGCTGCATTATAAATGCAACAGTCATATTTATATTAAAGCTCTAGTTCTTTCACTTCAGAATATGCCTCTAAGATATGCCTAATCTGAACATTTTCAATTGACACATAAAAACTGATCTAAAAAAGGCAGGTGCTAATAAACAACGGGCTGAGGACACTGCACTGAAATGTAATTATTCGTACCAATTACAGAGCCTAGATTTGCACCACAAATATTGCAGACACAGTGGGTATAATGAGGGGCTTGGCCAAGTGCCAGGGATGCCTATAATAAACTGGGTCATCTCTTACAAGAGTGTTGTTATTACACTTGAGAGGTCAGGGGATAAGCAGGGTTTAACCCTGAGCTTGGCAGAACTGCTGATTCAATTTGCTCACAAGGATTGCTTTTCATTGTGAGTTGATGGGCTATTTTCTGCTGGAAGAAGCTTCTCTCTGCTTTTCAAAGTATGGACAACAGAACTGATAAATGTAAAGTATTCCACAGACAGTTAATGCTCTCAAGGATAAGCTGGGCCTCAAATCAGCAAGTAGGGAGTCTGAAGAAAGGACATGAGAATTGTATTCACAGTATTTGTAATGAAGTAAAAAATAGGAACTGAATTGCTGACTTGTCTTCAGTTATAAGAAGTGTTATCCTGAAGATGAAGCTTTTCAGTGTTATCTTTTTTGTTTTATTAATTTTTTCCCCTCCCTATGGTAACTTGTGCATCACCGTCAGTGCTGTGGTATTTCTAGAACTGTACATTTTCTTCTTTGTTTCCCCCATTCCTCTGATGATACTAAATAAGAGGAGGTTATTAACTAAACAGATGGAAGTGTAGATGCATGTTCAATGTAGGAGTTCTGCCCTTTATTTCCTCACAAAAGATACCAACTTTTGTGAGAGTGTTAAGTAATTTTTGAGTAGCATATAATGCAGGAGTCAAACAATATTTGTCAAAGGGATGATAATATAATTGAATGTGGTTTCTGTAAGAAATCCATGCAAAGACACTGCATGGTCACTTACAGAAAACAGCCAGTCCAAATCTGAGTTTTGAACAGGCTTAGGTGTTGTGTACATTTAGTAAGCCTATGGGCTGAGGTGGATCCCAGCAGTGCAAGTAAAGGACAGAATCTTCCTTTGTGCTCCCTGATGCAGTGTAGAGCAAGCGTGTGGGCAGGCAGCTTCTGCAGTTTGTTTAATGTGCAGGAACCTGCTACCCACACTGACCTGTTGGTCAGTCTGAGCCCCCAGGTGCCAAATATCTTTCTTTAGAAGGCACTGGTAAGATTTCAAGTCTCAATCCTCCCTTGGAGATACTCAGGCCTGTCAGGCTGGACCAGGCTCTCAACTCCCTGACGGTGATGTTGGTGTCCTTCCTCATTGCAGGGGAGTTGGATTACATGACCTTTAAGGGTCCATCCATTCCCACTCAAACAATTCTATGATTCTATAATTATAGCTTCTGTTTCCTACCTCATGTGTTTCTAAAGAATACAGTCATCTATTTACTTGAACTTCTTTCCTCTCCGTTTTGTTTCTGCTTTCTGGACTCTCTCATGCAGTGTGCATTGTAGAGTTTTGTTTTTTTCTTTCATATCAGTTGACTGGAAAAGCTTGTTCTCCATTCGCTTGTCTGACCTGCGATCGGTATCAGCGTGATTCATGCGCTGCTGCACGAGTCCTTCAGCAGAAAGAGGAAGGGTAAAGTACCTGATGTGACAGCAGCTGCAAGAGCAACCAAAAAGCAAAAATACGTGTTGTCATCTTATTCCCCAGTATGAGGAAAGCTAAATCCATGTATTTAGTGTGCAAAAGCTGAGCAACTTCTAAAAGAGGGGAAATTTAGGTTAGATGTTAGGAAGAAATTCTTTTTACTTTTTTAATAAACACTCAATATGCTTCAGAGGATAAAGTTGCCCTAAGCTTCCAGCTCATCACAGAGAGCGGGGGAGGGCAGAGTGACTTGTTTTTCCTTCTGTAGTGGGCATTGCTATCACATTCCTTTCTACCTTCCCTTTTCTCAGTGCTAGGCTGCCTCTCCCTGACCATTCCATGCAGAACGAGAGAATTCATGCAGCCCTTTTTAGAAGTTGCAGTCTGCTTTGCCAACCACTGTAAGAAGAGATATTGTCACAGTGATTTGGGAAATGACCACATCCACCTTGAAAGGTGGCTTGTAGGTAGTCAGAGTGTAGGTCAGGTCAGGATAACCAGCATCTGCTTAGGAGTGAGCGTGCATGAGGGATTTAGTTCAGTTTGGCAGTGTGCTCTCTCGAGGTGAAGTCCACTTACTGCACTTTGCTGCTTGTCCTAGAGCAGCGCTGAGATGCTCCAAGTGGACTCCCAGCTGAAGGCAGGCTGCAGCAGCCACCTGGGCTCAGGCACCTGAGGCACTGCTGGGCTCAGGCACTGGGCACAGGATGGCCGCAGCTCCGGCTGCCTGGCTGCTGCTGGGCTTCTGCCTGGTGTGCTAGCAGCTGGATGGCAAGGTGGGAACAGCTTCTGGTGTTCTGTACTTGGCTGGGTGAAGCCATAGCCACGTTTTGACATCCTTTTTACCAGTGCATTAAGGAGGCTCAGGTGTTTCCAACATTTTGTGTTTTAATGCACTTTAGAGTTATTTTATTCTAACTTTAAACAGTTTTCAAATGGGCAAACGTGGATTTCAGGTGTGAGAGCATGATTATTTCTCTCAAAAATCAGCTGTTGAAATGATGACAAATTTGGCACGTGTGATGACTACTTACTAATGCACTTTATAGTTGCGTTTGTATGCTCCTAATTGCTGGAGAGATGACAAACATGGGCTGATATAAAGATGCCAGAAATGTTAGAATTCTAGGCTAAAAGCTACTGATAAAGCTTTAAGGTCCTGTTGGCAGACTGAAGCCCATAAAAATGGTAGAAAGAATTAGCAGGAAGTGTAGGCTTTGTTTCTCAGTTTCACTGCTTATTATCAGTAATCTACTATCACCTATTTTGATAAATATACACAGAGTTACGGAACTTGCAAATAAACTGTAGAACCAATTTAAACTCTGAAGCTCACCAAATAAACATTAAAGTATTCCCTTTAGGAACTCAGAATCCTTTGAATTATGCATGTATTGTAGTTTGCAGTAAGATAAAAGAACTTCGGGTGGGGGAGGGTGAGAAACTTGAAAAGCCTTAAGGAATAATTTCCATAAATTGGGTGGAGAGAGTAAACAGCACAAGTGGAAAAAGTTATTTTCAGTAAGGTCTTTTAGAGTAAGATAAAACAAATTTAAAAATCAGGTGGAGTTTGGAACAAAGCTAAAATGCTTTAAACTCACTTCAGCACTGCCACTGCCTTTCAAGCAACTCCCAGGGGGTGCTGTACTGGCCTGGATAAGTAACTGAACTTAAAAAAAAAATTCTTAAAGGTGAGTTAGAAGAAAAGCCACGAAGAGTGCATCATACATCCTACTGTATGCAAGACATTAAATGAACAGGATAAGCGTTTTTAATCTAACAGTATTGTATTTTCTTTTAACTTACAGTTACAGGACCGCACCCAATTTAGTGACCGAGACTTAGCGACCCTAAAGAAATACTGGGACAATGGCATGACCAGCTTGGGCTCAGTCTGCAGAGAGAAAATTGAAGCTGTTGCTGCAGAATTAAATGTTGACTGTGAAATAGTGCGGGTAAGAAATCCAGAGCCTTCCCCTATCTTGTAGCAGAAGCAAAAATAGGACAGATGAAAGCTTTTAAAAATTTCATGAGGAAGCTTGAAATAGATTTCACATATTACATAATGAATGACCATGTTAGGAAGTGTTCTCTTGCTCTTTCTGTAGTCTATATATAGAAAAAAGCCCTCAGGTAAGAGTCCTATTGATCAGGAGTAGGAGTAGCACTCCAAACAGTTTGACATTCTGTTTAGATTTGAGTGAGGTTTTGAATAAGCCCTGCATGTTTTTAGGGATATCCTAGATGAATGAGAAGTGTTATCATTTATATTGTGATTAAGATAGAAAAAAGACCTTCTAGAGATGCAGGGAAAAAGTAATTCTAAACATACAAAAGAAAGCGTTCAAAAATAAAATTTATTTTCCAACGCTGCATTGGAGCTGGATTGAGATGTGATAGAGGGCAAGGGATACTGTAAAGAATTCTGGGTTCTTTCAACTTGATAGTCCATGCCTTTGAGGAAGGATTGCTTTAGGAAATACGTGCTTAGTGTGGATACCCTCTTTGCTGAGAGTCATTCTGCATTGTCTGTTCTGAGGTGGGGAAGTTTGGTAAAACATCTGAATATAGTTGCCAGTGTAAACACAATTACCAGATGTATCATCACTCTAAAACCAGAGGTTTCTTCTTCACTCAGTGCTTCCATTCTTCAGAAAATAGCCTGACTGTCTTTGCAGTCAGCACAAAAATATGATTAGAGCTTTCCCATCTTAACGGGCATGACAATTGTCACTGCTCCTTTCAGCCTTCAGACAGCTCTTTTTCCATCTCTCCCTTAAAACCTGACGTCAAAGGAAAAGAGGATGACAGCAATCAAACTCTTGAAAAGTGTACGAAAAATACAAGGAAAAGGCATGACAATTTTTTTATTTAATGGAACATAAAATGATTGTACTTAAAAGATGAAATGCTATCAAAACAGAAGAGAGGAGAGCCTTTATTTGAAACTCTTATGAAGATCTCTGTTGGAGTGACATATCTATATGGTACCAAATTAGTTTCAAATAGTGAGCATTACTTTGGCTATTTACTTGCTTATTTTCCTGAGTGAATCTGAATTAAAAAAAAATGAAGTTGCACTTTTTTGGAGGCTTAAAGGAATTGTTCCTTTCTCTGTAGAAAGAGAATGTCTTCCAAGCTCTTCAGTTCACTTTCTGAAAAGTGAAGCTGTTTCCACTGAAAGCAGCAAAAATCGTCTCCTGGTTAACAGGCAGTCTGACACCCTTACTTAGTCTCCCTTTGTTCCTTTCTTGGCATACAGAGATTGGCAGTATGAAGTTTTGTGCGCATCTTTTAATAGTGTCACCTTGAAATACTTTTGTCTTCAGGACCAGTGTTCCAGGTTCAGATGAGCTCCTTAAAACTCTGCAGTGTGTGTGCACACAAATGGAGCAAACAAAAATTTCTTATTCTTCATGGTAACTATTATTGTTACCAGTATCAGACTAACCTCTGCCCCAGGTTCCTCTATACTGACAGGCTTGACAATTACAGTGAGATTTAGGTTGGTCCTGCTTCATGCTACAATGTTGATAGGCTTGAGTTATTAGTAATTCTGCAGAGATATGCAGCAGAAAGGCTGCTTAACCCTATCTGATGAACAGCTTCTTTTTGGGGGCCAAGGCATAGTATAGATCCAGTTCATGATCAAGAAACAATGTGAAAAAACAGCTTGGAATCTTCAGTCTGTGTTTTTTTCCATTACGTGGGATTTCTGAAGGTTCCAACCTAGAATCTTTCTAGTGTGTTGACACTCTAACCTCAGTCACAGCAGAGCTACAATCATGCTTTTTAGGTGACTACCTGTCAGCCTGCTTACCTACAGGCATACTCACAGCAAACATACACTGGCTGCTTCTGCCTAGCCTTTGTCCTCTCTTCCGTATCTCCTCCTGGTCATCAGGTGAAGCTGATGCTGAATTTGTTATTGGCTGTTGTAAGTGGGCTTAGTGAGTCTGATCTTTACAGGTGTTTTTGCAGTTTTTAAGGACATAGCATTTTAGGGATATAATTGAAATTACTAAACTGCATACAGGGAAATGCTATTCTGCTCATACTCTCATCACTGTATGGCTCCAGAGTATTCGCATTTAAGCGTAGCATGTACTGTGTGTGGAAGCTTACAACTTCTCTTTCCCATTTTGATATACTGTAAAAATACACTCGTTCTCCATGTCATATTCAGCAGGTTGAATGAAAGAATTTCTGCTTTGAAGAGTACATGAAAAGACTGGTCATATCTATCTTGTCCAGGAGCCTTTTTTT